CATTCAAGCTTATGTTTTCCATAGCTCTTTCCAGTTTTTCCTGAAAGAGCTTCCAATCTGCTCTGTTGATAGCATAATGTGTCATATCATCTTCTGCAGTCCATCCACTTTGTCTGATTGTCATGAAGATATAGTTATGGTCACTGAGACTTGAAATTGGAGAAACAGCCCAGCCTTGAACTAGTCTAAGTGCTCTGTTATTGCACATTGTGATATCAATCCAGCTGCGGCCTGTTGGCCCTTCAAAGGTTGGCTGTGATTCAGGATCATTTAATATGTGCATCTCATTAGAGCTGGCAAAATCCAACAACAGTTCTGCTCGCCCATCGTCGTTGGGATCGCCCCACAACTGTGAGTGGGCATTCAAGTCACCTCCTATAACTATGTTTTTATGTTTGAAATGTCCAATCAATTCATCTAGTTCACTTAAAAGGGGACCTAAGTCCTCTGTTATTGGGCAATAGATACTTATCAATAAGACACTATTGTTTCCACGTCCAACTTCTATACACGTCATTCTACTATTGCTCCATTGCGTGTAGTATACAACTGGTATATTTTTATTGTTCACTATTATCAATGTCTTCGGCGTCTCACAATGATCATATAGTATAGTATAGTATAGTATATATTTAATCGTTTGAAGCTCTTCTAGATCAGTTAGAGCCATAATCTATTTTGGCTATTATCATTCTTCTCACTTTCTGAATTAGGGGACACTTTTTGTCGCACGCATTATGGCATGTATCCTTCAACTTCTCCCTCCTACAGTTACAGCAATCGGCACGTCCTTTATTCGGGCAATCTTTAAATCTATGTTGTTGTCCGCATTGGCTGCAGACAATGTCTTTCTCTTCGCAATTCTTAGCAATATGTCCCAGCTTACAGCATTTGTAACATTGTGTAACGTTTATATATTCTTCTATGCCACATCTGGACCATCCCAGATTAATTTTCTTTTTTGGCAACAATACTTGGCGCACTCTTGGGCTAACCTCTGCTACCCAATTTACTGTCAGTTTTTGTCTATTTCCATACTTAAATTTCAATTCTACTTCTTTTTTATAGTCTTCAATATCTAGATTACAGTTCAATATGTCATTCTGTTCAAATAAGCATTCCTCTACTTCTTCTTTTGAAGCGTCCTTAGATACTCCATAGATAACTATCCGAGGTCTTCTCTTCACTGGCTCTCTAGTCTTCAGGCCAGTCTTTTCTTCTATCTCTCTTCTTAACTTCTTCTTTTCTTCCTCAGTACCAACTTCTATTGCGATACCACCTCTTCTCAATTTTCTTACAGTCTGAATTCCCACTCCCAACTGTCTTGGATTCACGTTCTTCTTTAATCTATCTTTAGTTCTTTCTGGGTCTTCACCCTCCCGCTCCGGCTCCACCAATATTATCTCCTTGGGCTGCTGTTTCATCTTCTTAGCTACTGCTTGAGCATAACTTTGTACAGGTACTGTCGTAGAAAGGACCTTGTCAAGTTTTGTGTTAATAGAGTCCATTACATTTCTAAGTGGATCTTCTTCACTTTTCCTTATTATGTAGATGATCTTTTCAATTTTCTCGTAGATGAACACTGCATGCTTTGACATCATCTTACATGTGCTGTTCATTGACATGTACTCTTGTATCTCGTCACGGACACTTTCCGCAAACATCACTCTTTCGAGCTGCAGAGACACCTCCATCTCTTGGGAGGATGTCTCGTCGTCTGTCTCAGAGACTTTAGGCCTTTTGGCCATAGTCCTTAAAAGGACTGTTCAAACGTGTTCAACTTGTCGCAGTTACTGATTAGTTTCGCCCACTAGGGGCTACTCACAGGCAGGACCACTGGGAGGTTCAGTAACTGCTTCCCCTATGGCTTCGTTATAACGCTAAGTAAAAAAAAAAAAGAGCACAATCTAAAGGCACGAGCAGGCCAAAAATAGACGCAAAACTCACCAATTAATGCAACGAAACAAATTTGGGGCACCCTGCCCGGATATAATGATTATAAATTAGAAATAAATTTGGCACTAGAGTGAAACGTTAGGTGCCCTCTCGTTAGATGTATTAAATACTCGGCTCGGACGTCACGCCAACAGTTAACTCAATCAAAAACATCAAAAACTTCAGACTATGAGGCATTAACTAGAATTAAAAGAAATATTTTAATCTTGCAAGCGCTTTCAACGTAAATATGTACGTCGTCTTCAGGCAATTCAAAATTGAGTAGAGAATTCGAATAGAACATTTAAATTTAAGCATTAATGATATTGGCCGTTTTTGGAATATAACTATTACAAATAAGATTTAAATTTTAGAATTAAAAACATTTAAAATTGGCGCGCATGTGTTTTAAAGCAAATAAACACCGATTAGAATGGCTATTAATTATTTTGTAAATGTGAAAAATTGGCGCACGTGCATCTTAACATGCATAACATAAGAGCCAATTAGAATGGCTATTAAGAACAAGTAAATTTTAGACTTTAAATTAAAACATTTTGTAAACACGTATAAAATTTTTGGCACGCATGCGCCTTAACATAGACAGCATAGAAGCCGATCAAATTAGAGCCATAAGTGCAAGTTTACATTAAAAATTATAAGAGCGTGGGACATAATTTAAAATATATAGAACACATGTAACATATAAAAGACGCACATAAAGAGGCCGACGCATATGCGCCTTGAATCACGTAGGAGGTGCGGGAAAAGAGTGTAGAATTATTGTTGATTTTTTAAACGCCTGTATAAATTAATCCAGACGTCCAGTCTGGATTGAATTAATTTAATTAGTCTTAATTAGTCTTTTTTCCGGATACACCTCCCCGGGGAGCGAACCCCTCCTTGGTAAAGTGAGGATGATGTGTCTAAACAGAGCCATTCAGTGCACCAGGAAACAACTCTATTCTAAGTTAACAAAAGTGGTGGAAATTGAAAATTCTTTGTTCCAGTTGGGTCCGGGGATACTATCAGAAGAGAATGCCAAGATAGTCAACATCCAGGATAGGCTTAGAATCAATCTCAAGAGGCATTACCAGAAGAAGTTTCAGTGGATTTTACGCTTCCAAGTTCCCAGGAGTCGCAAACAACCCTCCTTCCCATTTACAGTGTGGGATAACTTAACCCTACCGAGTTTTGTGGTGGATGTCCTCAAGTTTGGACCAGCCTTTGCACTACGCCCAAAGAAGGCGGACACAAAGAGCCTCATTCCTGATCTGGAAATTCTAGTACGACAACTATCAGATAGACAAAAGGAATACTATCGTTGGATGGCCTCATTAAAAATAAAAAATTCCAAGGAGTCACCTGAGATAGTGGATCTAAGAGACAAGCTATGACGTACGATGCGTTGGATGAAACTTAACAACATCACTCTTGTCAGGGCCGACAAAACTAAATCCATGGTTCTCATGAAGCGTGACACCTATGAAAGAGGCCTACAGGAATACTTAACACTCACACATTGCGCTAGGGCTGATGAGTGTGGTATCAATAGGCTGCATTCCAGTGCCAAGCACTTAGCGAGACCATAACCGGCCTTCGCCGGTTCCGGTCTCGCTAAGCGCTTGGCACTGGATAACTTAACAGTTGACTACCCGGACGTCCCTAAATTGTTTGCTTTCGCAAAAACACATAAACTGGGCCAACAACTCCGCCCAGTCATGGACAAAGCTAGAGCGCCTACACAGAAGTTAGAGAAGACTGTACATACCCTTCTTGCTCCACAATTGGAGGACTACCCGTACACCATTGCTAGCCCGGTGGAGCTCCTAACACAATTGAAAGGGATCACATCCTATCGATACATAACAGTGTTGGACTTTAAGTCCTTATACCCTTCCATTGAGCTCCCCCCCAGCTTTCTGTGCACTTAGGGACATTTTGTTTAGCTTTGTCGGGGATAACACTTTACACAACCAGGTTCTTAAGATGGCACATCTGATGTGTTATAATTCTGTCTTCCAGTTCAATGGCGAGGTCTACACACAAGGCAGAGGGGTCCCCATGGGCAGCCCGGTTTCAGGGGACCTATGCGAGATGGTAGTCCGGCAGTTGGAGAAAAAAGTCCTCCCACAATTCCTCCCTAACATCGCACTGTATAAGAGGTATATTGACGACATAAAAAATTTACACACCTGAACCATTTACGGTGTGATCATGCAAAAGATCGGTAAACAAACGTTTTCGAACCCCTTCTGGGCTCTGCTTCAGGTTCCAATCAGTTTCTATAAAGACGTTCGATATCCGTTAGACGTTACGTCTAACGGATATCAAACGTCTTTTGCATTTACGGTGCGATCTTTTGCATGATCACACCGTAAATGGTTCAGGTCTGTAAATTTTTTAGTCATTCCAGTGTGATAAATAGTGAATTTGTTTTGTATTGACGACATTATTATTCTTTGGAAAATTGTGCCTGATATAACAGCCTTAGTAGATTCTTTTAATAATAACCCATACGGGTTGACACTAGAATTAGAACAATCTGACCCCACTGAGGTCCATTTCCTAGATATAAATATTTAAAGCCTTATCAGAAGAGCCTTCACACATTCTTCTAACATCCAGGCTCAAGATAGGGAGCTAGCATCTATACAGCAAGTAGTCACAGAACATGGGTATAGCAAAGTTATACGTAAGATGGTGCAGCATTATAGCCAGATATATGCAGACAGAGCACGGCTTGTGGACCAACACAATGATAACCAACTGGAAGACATAGAACGGATCCCTGTCACATATAACCCATACCTAAGATCTATATATGCTAAGATCACCAGGAAGCGCAAAATAAGTATTGCATATAGGAGGTGTCCCACCATTTTTAACATTTTAAATAATGGGAAGGACCCTCCTAACCCCAGCAGATGACCCAGATTCTATAGTGTCCCTTTGAGAGACAACAGATTCAATAGGGATTTAGTATATATAGGCTCTACTAAAAGGTCCGTAGGCATCAGAATGCAAGAACATCAGGCAGATATTCATCACGGGAGAATCAACACGGCTCTCGCAACATACGTAACAGACCCAGAAATAGTTGCCAACTTTACTCAGGCCAATCTCCTCCTAGGCACACCTCCCAATGATCATCTCAAATGGTTAGAGGCAATGCACATCTTTAAAGCCTCTATTGAAACTATGTGCATAAATTTTAAAGAGGAGATGCTTTTGTTGATGGCCTGGCAAGAGTTGATTCACAACACGATTTAGCTGCCCGTTATATAGTAGGCAGACTCGGCACGCATGCGCATCGTATAAGTTTAAAAGAACAATTTGAACTGAAGATCGAACTTAATTTAACGACATTCGTTATTCGAATTTACGAGCTAAAACTGTAGGAACCTGATGAAGAGCCCAGAAGGGGTTTTGTTTTTCATTATTTTTTCGTTGTTTATCGTACCACACTGTAAATTGGTTCAGTGTATGTGATTCTTGAAGAAACGCATGTTGCTGTTGGCAATGGTGGAAGGACACAGATGCTTAAGGAATGTAACCGCAAGTATAAAGATGTAACAGTTGAGGCTACTATGACATATATGAAGTTATGTCAACCTTGCCAAAAGAAACCGAAGGCTTTAAAAAAGGGCATTGTCATCAGACCTATACTTCACAGTGAAATGAACTCATGCTGTCAGGTTGATCTAATAGATCTACAAACTACTCCAGATGGAAATTATAAATTCATTTTAGTTTACCAAGACCATCTTACCAAATCTGTGATCCTTCGTGCATTTCAAACCAAATGTGCCATAGAAGTTGCATACCATCTTTTGGATATTTTCACCACTTTTGGAGTGCCAAGCATCCTTCATTCCGATAATGGTTGAGAATTCTCTAACCAAGTTATTGAGAGTTTATGCTCCATGTGGCCAGATGTAAAAATCGTACATGGAAAGGCAAGACATAGCCAAAGTCAAGGATCAGTGAAGCGTGCTAATCAAGACATAGAAAATATGTTGAGCACATGGATGGAAACCAATCAGTTATCAAAGTGGTCAGAGGATTTAAGATTCATCCAGGCAATGAAAAAGAAAAAGCATATCACAAGGGAATCAAATGTTCCCCCAATGAAGCAATGTTTGATAGTCCAATGAAAATGGGCCTTGCAACTTCAGCAATCCCTAGTGATATGATTAGAGTTATAAGATCTGAAGAAGATTTAGAGAAGTTGTTGCATTCACATGACAATATGGAACAAAATAATGACATCGAAAATGCAATCAAACAGGACAAGGAAGAAAGTATTGTTGAAAATGAGTCAGAAGGGGATATAGACAATAGCACTGTCAACGATAAAACACAAGAAGATGAAATGATTATTACTGAAAAGATGAAGGCGAAGCAAATAACCGATGATTCCAATGTAACAATTCAGAGACATAAAACACGATTGAGTCTCAGGAAGTTCTTGTAACTATAGAGCCAAAACCAAAAACGATAGAATCTGTAGTGACTATAAGAAACAATGCAAAATTGAGTTTGGAGAAACAAGCTGAAAAAAATGAAAGTCACGTCTGTTGATAAATATCCAAATGTGAAAATTGGCCAAAATGTAAGACTGAAAGTGTCTGAAATTGACAAAGCTAAAACCGACCCGAAAAGCATTATTGCAGTCATAGTAGATGTAAAGGACAACGAGTTTTACGAGTTGGAGTACTAAAGCAGCTTTATACACAAAATCAATTTACCTCATACCCTGAAGACTTTATCAAGCTAGAAGAAGTTGTTAAAGATAAAGAAGTGAGTCTTTGAGAAGTTGTCGCAAAATTGTCTTTGACCGGAAGACAAGATTTCAAGAAATGCAACTGCCTAAAAAAAATGCATAATGAAGTAATGCGCTTGCAAGCCATCATGATTACTTTGTAATTCTAAATGCCATGATAGCTCTCCACGTAGTAACAAGTAAAATCCTTTTTTTACTTTTATTAAATGACAATGAATATCAAATGATTAGAAAAAATACTGTGATTATTGATTAGCTTAGCCAACATAGGCTATTATATTATTTTTAACAAGATAATTTAATTTTTGTTATGCTAAAAAGTATTTTTAAACTGTTTCACTTGTTATTAATAAATAGTATGTTAGTAAGTTGACTATTTATAATAATTGCAATAAATGTTTATTAAAATATTCATAGTTTTATTTCCAAAACCAACATTTACTAACAGTCTTTAGTAAAACCTAGCATGTAAAAAATTCTAATGGTAAAAGCCCGGAAAATCATCTCACTTTATAAAAATCCTTACATTTACCAACTCATGTTGGTAAATCCAAAAATTTACAAGTAAAACCTGGGATTTACCAATATACGGACTTTTACAGTAACATGTATATTTGTAAAGATTTATATTTTTAAACTTAAACTTGAAAGTTTTGCTGCCATTTAAAAAAATTCCCATACTCATTGCAAATTGCCTTTCATTTCGTATGAAGTGTGAAAGCACGTAGGACAGTGACTGTGTCACTTTATGAATCATTAGGTGACAGCGACACAATTGTGCTAAGTAGAGAGCTAACATTACAAAAGAATATGTTACAGTTCTGGACTTTGACTCTCTGTATCCTTATTCAGAGTGTCCCAAAAGTAGTAAACCCATTTGAAGTAAGGATAAAAATGAGTGTTATCTAATTATGTCCTTGTTTTGTGTTGCAGGTTGCTGCTGTAACTTTTAAAATCAAACATGAATCTTGAAGCAATTTCTGCCAAGAATGCAAAAAATTTCTTCAATGGATGTTTCCAAATCATGTGATGTCATGGAATGGCAGACCTTGGAGTGCCATTTTCTCTCTGAAAAAGTGAGAAAAGTGAGTTGAAATACAAAAACAGTGAGTGTAATAGTGACAAAACAAAGTGAAAGCATGGAAGGCAAAATCTCAGCAAAAAAGCAGTAAAAGTTGTTTTTTTCTCTTTTTATTCTGTTATGATTAAATACATTTAAAAAATTTCTGTATATACTGTAATACAGTAGTCACTCATTATATTGCAGATTCAGATATATTGCATTTTTTTTTTTTTTTTTGGTTCTCCAAATTTTAAAATACTAATTTCCATTGAATTTCTATTTGCAACAAAATACAGTATTCATATTTCTACCATTGTCCTTGAAACTACTACTGAAGGTGAAACAATAAATTCATCAAGATCTAAATATGCAAAACAGGTAGGCATGCCAATTGTCATTTGTTTCTTTTTGATATTGAAAATTGCTTATTTGTTATTTTTAAGTACTGTCTCCTCATTTACAAGTTTCTGTCAATCCGAAATTTCACACCTTTATAAAAATTGATGGTATTGCGTCAATTCACATAAAGGTGTGAAATTTTGAATTCACCTCATAATGTGTAAGAAAAAGATTTCTTTAATTTTAAATGGAAAGTTTTTATACAGTAGTAACTTTATTCTGCTTTTTAGAGAATTTTTACTCTGTGTAATTTTATAAATTTTGATGTTCTATTATATCTATATATATAAATGGACGTGTATCACTTTT